GGATGGAAGGAGTAGTAGGGATATAAAGCAGAGGATAGCGCAGGGTCGTGTCGCCTTTAATAAAAAGAAGTCACTTCGATGCTCGCGAACGGTTGATTTAGAAATTCGAAAAAGATTGTTAAAGCTATATGTTTGGAGCACGGCATTGTATGGGTGCGAAACATGGACAGTGGGCGCGGCGGAAAAGAAAAGGTTAGAAGCTTTCGAAAGGTGGTGTTACAGGCGAATGATGCGGATACCGTGTATAAGAAGGTTAGAAATGAAGAGATATTAGAAAGAATGGGAGAACAGAGGACTCTATGGAAGTCAATCAAAAATAGGCGAGATAGGTTGGTAGGACACCTTCTTACGCATGAAGGTGTAGTCAGAGACATATCTATTAGAGGCAGAAACAGGAGTTAGGAGGGATAGAGGTAGACCTAGATTAGATTACTGTTCGCAAATAGTTAAGGATGTAGGCTGTTCTGGTTTTAGGGAAATGCGATGTTTAGCTCAGGATAGGAAAGAGTGGAGGTACGTGTCCAACCAGTCTTAGGATTGACGACCTTATGATGATGAATTATATTTATACTTGTTGTCTATAAAATTAACAAGTAGTAGTGGATACCTCATTAAAACTAAACAGGTGCTAAAACCCGGCTAAAGTTTTAGAGTTAGATATCTACGAGGGTGGATTGATAAGTTTCCGGCCTGACCAAGAAAAACAAGGTTTTTAAAAATTTTTTTTTTTTATTTCTCAACATAATCTCCTCCAAGGCTGATACATTTCTCATAGCGGTGTTCCAGTCTATTAATGCCATCTCTATAGACTGATTCGTCAAGCTCCTCAAAATAACCATTTNCCACTATATGGCACTTATTTTTCCTACTGTATCATATTTGTAGCCTGATTTTTTTCATAAATCTGTTGTTTACGAACGATGATCCATTTTTAAAAGAAATACAATACTTCGGACCATTTTATTTGTCAGTATGGTGTTCAGTAAGTAATGCTTTGTGATAAAAAGTAGAATACTTTTTACTACTACTATTATTTAAAAACAAACTTCATAGTTCATCTAATTTTTCATATATGTAGTATATGTACTATAATTCTAAATTTATTTTAGTTACTACAGATTGTTTATTTAGTGTTATCTCTAGCGTCAAATAATGCAAATCATCTCCCGAGAAAAATGCGAAAGATCAAACATAAGTTAGAATCGCTGAAAGGGTACATCTTCATCACTTTTGTATTACCCTTGACCACATACGTTACCGCGGCTTTTTGGACAATTTTTTTTCTCAATAAGGATTTCGTGCCGTCTGCTACGTTTGCTCTTATGCCGTCATGGATTAATCATGGGTATCATACAAACGGAATGATTCTCGTATTGATGGATCTTCTTTTTGAAAATAACTCTATTCCACCTGTTAAATCTGCTCTTTTTGGAATTACTCTACTTGCTATCGTCTACTATTCAATGTAAGTTTCATTTAACCTTTTTTTCACTTCTAACTAATGTAATTCTAGGATTGGAATGAAAATTCCCATCCCTCGATTTTTTGAGTACTTATTCTACACATGTAACTTTCATTTGATATCATTTACGACTACATATACTCTCGAAATGTGTCCGTGCCTAAAAACTCAAATTTTTCGCGCTAAATTTCCACCAAATTACCTACCGTTGCAATCATAAGATTATCCAATACGTACTTTTTTACATAAATATTAGTAAATACCTTCCACATCCTAATAATTTCACGAGCACTTTTTTGTGTTTAAATTGTTTTATATATTTTAGCAAAAATAATGCCGGAAAGTACCTATTTGACACCGCACTAGAAAACCGTTGATACCATGAAATTCTACGTATTTTTTTACATAGAGATTACAAAAAATATGTAGTATAAAACGAGAAACATTATAATGGGTATCTATTTACGACTCTTCTCTAATATATTAATTTATTTTAGTTTTTTTGGAATATGGCCGGAAACTTATCAATCCACTCTCGTATTTCCTGATTCATTTATAAATACTTTTTTTAAGAAATGGCCTTGATGGTAATTATTATGCGTCGAGCAAACATGTCTTATCAAGTTTGGTTTTTCCCAAGCAAAATTCACAAGTACCACATAAATAATTATTGCACCTTATCATCAGCGTGATTTGTTATCACCCGATATAATTACAGTCAAACAACTGAAAATATGTGATATTAATTATTTATTTTTACTCTAACGGTTCAAAAGCCGTATCGGCAATGAACACACCAAATAGCTCAAATCCAGAGAGAAAACAATATTTTCTTAGTCTCTGTAGAAGGTACCTTTGTTACCAAAAAAAACTTCGCTCAACACCGGCAGGGCCGTACTCTCCAGCAAAAATAATGCCATGAGATTTTACGTATTTTTTTACATAATTATCACATTTCAAAGCTCAGTAAATATCTTTCATCTTTCAATAATTTCACGAGCTCTTTTTTATGTATAAATAACTGTTCTATAAACTTTAATAAAACTAATGCCGGAAAGTATACCAGTTTGCCATCGCATTTGAAAACTGTTGCCACAATGGGATTCGACGTACATTTTTACATAATTATCACATCTTAAAGCTTAATAAATACCATTCATCTTCCAACAATTTCATGAGCGCTCTTTTATATTAAATTATTTTGTAATTTTTAGCAAAAGTAATGCCGGAAAGTACATAAAATTGGCACCGCACTCGAAAACCATTAGCACCTTAAGATTCTGCGTAATTTTTTACATAATTATCACATTTCAAAGTTTAGTAAATATCTTTCATCTTTCAATAATTTCACAAGCGCTCTTTTGTGTTAAATTATTTTGTAATTTTTAGCAAAGCTAATGCCGGAAAGTATATCAATTTGCCATCGCACTGGAAAACCGTTAACACCTTGAGATTCTACGTACTTCTTTGCATAAATTATCACTTCTCAAACCTTAATAAATACCATTCATCTTCCAATAATTTCACGAGCGCTTTTGTATGTTTAAACTATTGTATACATTTTAGCAAAAATAAATAATAAAGTACTTTTTTGGCACCGCACTTGAAACACGTGAGATTCTGCATACCTTTTTTCGGAGCTCAGAATATACCTTTCATCATCATTGAAAAACGACAATTCCTATTAAAAATATACCAACATGGTTTTCTAACTTTTAATTGAAATTTCGCATCATAATCCAATATTTTATGTAGATACCTACTCACATTTTCATTAATTACAAATGCTTAATAAGCATTGAATTTGATTCTCTGTTTTAATCGTGCCTTATCAATTTTATGATGTGTATTAAATTGCATTAATGATTAGAACAGCTTAATGACTAGCATTTATTTTCTTAAGTTCCTTACACTTTTTGCTATCTGCATATATATGTCGGTGGTAATAAGTAAATAATTAATGAAAACAAAATAAAAGATAACCTTTCGACTTTTATTAGACACATTAAACATAATGACCCTCAAATGAAATAGATTTTTATAAAATAATGGTATCTTTAGTCGTTAGTATTACTTCAGTTGTTACAAACATTTAAAATGGACACTGATAGTAAGGTAAGCAAAAAGTTTAATAAAAAAACTTAAGGAATTTATGAAAAAATGGTTCGCATTTAGTATTACGTAGTGAATTTGTTGAACTCTTGACTTCGTTATTTAATCACAATAGTTCTTTAGTCATTAGTATTAGTTCAGTTGTTACAAACATTTAAAATGGACACTGATAGTAAAGTAAGCAAAAAGGTTAATAAAAAAACTTAAGGAATTTATAAAAAAAAATGGTTCGCATATAGTAGTATGTAGTAAATTGTTGAACTATTGACTTCTTTATTTAATCACAATAATATCTTATTAATCTTTTAACTGTTTCTAATGAAAGATCTTGTCTTGCTTGGATATTCGTGCAAATATATCTTTTGAGGGTTTAAATTTATTCAATTTTTTATGCAAAATGAATATGTAGATTTAAGAAAGAATAATATGAATACATATATACGTATATTTTTCTGTTTCACTTTTTATTCCTACTATTTTCTTTTAGATTTCCACTATATGGCACTTATTTTTCCTACTGTATCATATTTGTAGCCTGATTTTTTTCATAAATCTGTTGTTTACGAACGATGATCCATTTTTAAAAGAAATACAATACTTCGGACCATTTTATTTGTCAGTATGGTGTTCAGTAAGTAATGCTTTGTGATAAAAAGTAGAATACTTTTTACTACTACTATTATTTAAAAACAAACTTCATAGTTCATCTAATTTTTCATATATGTAGTATATGTACTATAATTCTAAATTTATTTTAGTTACTACAGATTGTTTATTTAGTGTTATCTCTAGCGTCAAATAATGCAAATCATCTCCCGAGAAAAATGCGAAAGATCAAACATAAGTTAGAATCGCTGAAAGGGTACATCTTCATCACTTTTGTATTACCCTTGACCACATACGTTACCGCGGCTTTTTGGACAATTTTTTTTCTCAATAAGGATTTCGTGCCGTCTGCTACGTTTGCTCTTATGCCGTCATGGATTAATCATGGGTATCATACAAACGGAATGATTCTCGTATTGATGGATCTTCTTTTTGAAAATAACTCTATTCCACCTGTTAAATCTGCTCTTTTTGGAATTACTCTACTTGCTATCGTCTACTATTCAATGTAAGTTTCATTTAACCTTTTTTTCACTTCTAACTAATGTAATTCTAGGATTGGAATGAAAATTCCCATCCCTCGATTTTTTGAGTACTTATTCTACACATGTAACTTTCATTTGATATCATTTACGACTACATATACTCTCGAAATGTGTCCGTGCCTAAAAACTCAAATTTTTCGCGCTAAATTTCCACCAAATTACCTACCGTTGCAATCATAAGATTATCCAATACGTACTTTTTTACATAAATATTAGTAAATACCTTCCACATCCTAATAATTTCACGAGCACTTTTTTGTGTTTAAATTGTTTTATATATTTTAGCAAAAATAATGCCGGAAAGTACCTATTTGACACCGCACTAGAAAACCGTTGATACCATGAAATTCTACGTATTTTTTTACATAGAGATTACAAAAAATATGTAGTATAAAACGAGAAACATTATAATGGGTATCTATTTACGACTCTTCTCTAATATATTAATTTATTTTAGTTTTTTTGGAATATACATTCTTTTCGGAAAATGGCTCTATATTTTCTTTTATGAAATGACTTGACTGCAAATTGTTACTGCTTTTATTATAACTTATTTGCTTCACGTAGGACTTGTTACAACAGGAGTTAAAGTACATCAGTCACTAAGATCACGAGTCAAAAAGGTATAATATTTTGGTTATTATTTTGTATTTTTTATTATGTTCATATGTATTTGATTTAATATATTGACTTATTGATATTATATAAACTATATAATTTATTTGTGGATAGTATTATAGAAAAAGTTTTATTTCATAATTTATTTAAGTAAAACTGACGTGGTTATATTTTAAAGAAAAGCTAAACATTTCTTAGATTAACAAAACCCAATTTTCATTCTATGCAGCATTTATTATAAAAATAATTTCATGAAACATTACTTTAAAATAGTCATTTAATCAACTTCAAAAGAATTTCTATCAATTTTAGTTAACTTTGGCGCCATGTCTCTTTTCACTAACTAATCGTAAGTAATGCAAATTACCACACTTTAAAAATTATAGCGAACTATTAAACTTATAAATAAATTATTTTAGAATAATAAACAAATAGTTAATACTATTAGTAGATTCTAAAACATTGTTGCGCTTTTATGTAATATTAGGACATTTTACTTACTTTTAAATTTAAAAGGGGAGCTTTTGGGTGTTTGGGGAATAACAGGAGTAAGTGGGTAGTGGGTGAAAAAAGATGAGACAAACAAAATAAAGATAGAAGAGAATTTAAAAATTATATGTGGAATATTATTGTTGCATACAATCGGGGAAATTTAAAGATATTCACATTCTGATAAAAGGATTTTAATACAAACAAATATGCTACATTAATTATTAGTTTAACAAAATTTGCAATTAATCTTAGTCTATGTGAAGATCACAAAAAATGAGAATCCTAGACATAACAATAAGAAGAGAAATAAGTGAATAATAATCATCATAATCGTGATAACAAAAAAGAAAGAGTTAGGTAAGCACTAAGTATACAGATCCCTTAAAACTACAGAATAGAGAAATGTAATAGTAATTAACCAACTATCACAATTATTATGATACCTTACAGGAAGGATCTCGTACTTTTATTATTCACAAGTCATTTTCATTATCCAGAGGAACTTTTGAACTAACGAAAAAATATTCTTTTTCGAGTCCTAATCAAAATCAAGAAGTTCTAATCCAGAAAAATAAGACGTCCACAAATGAATATTTTAGGGTTTGTATACAAGTTTGACCCGTAACAATATCTACTATTTGCGAGCAATTTTGCATTTCATGTCGATGAAGGTATTTTATAAATTATACGATTAAAAATAATATACACAAATATTCAAATAGCCTAGTATGGGTAGGAATAACGTTTTTTTAAGTCTTTTATGGGCATTTTTATTTGGAAGTAGTTTAAAAACAATTGATAATCGCAAGATAACTAAAAAGAAGTTAATATATGGTACACACACGGGTTGGTTATAAAAATGCTTATCCTTTTTTTAAATTCAAGTAAGCAAAAAGTAGAAAAATACAATAGTTACGTGTTACATAAAAAGGGATCACACTTCAAACTGCGTCATCATGTTGTATGTATAACATTTCACTTCTTTTGCATGTAACAATAAAAAGCATCAAAACAGTTCGTTGTTCATTAATTAAACACTTCGAACTTATGAAACATCCAAAAGGATTTGATCATAGAATCGCTTTTGCGCCATTACGAAAGATGCATAATGAGAAAACCAAACAAAAGAAACATGTATTGGCCGAACAACACCTCGCTGAAGTTTTGTCAGAAAAAAATCCGCATCACAGAGTTATTGCATGTAGAAATCATGATCACCACTAAATTAGATCAAACTTTGAAAAATACAACACATTTGTATTGTTATTTCGAAAAATCATTAATTTCAAACAATTTAATAAAATCGTAGTAAGTCTATATGTACACAAGGACGACGTTGGTGACGTGACGATGGTGCAACGTCTTCCAAGCAAAAAACAATATTACACCTCTCACAAATAATTTTTTCTTTTTATAAGCAAATATAATATATATTTTCACAGTTTTTTCCGCGCTCATTAATGCTCTTACGGTCTTGGCTAAATCGTTTCCTTTTGCACACTGCCAATGATAGTACTATCACAAATCAGGCAAGGTAGCTGTATGTGTCCTTTTGACCTTCTGTCCTCTCTAAATACTCTTTTTCGATCAATATATCGATACATTTCTGGAACAAATAAATAAAAAATTTAGATAAACTAATTGCAAAACAAAAATTTGTAATTTTTTTCCATACAAACATAAAGCATACTTTTCTTACGGGGTTACGCAGAAAAAACTGAAGAGATGTCCCATATCCTATAATCTAAGACCATTAATACACAGTAAGATACTGATAAACAAGCGCCCAGATATTTCAATTTTTTTAATATTAATATAAGTAATTTGTTTTCCTACCTTTATAATTTGTACTTTCGGCTTAAATCGCATCGATAATTGATTCAGTACTTCTGCAACGAGCTGTTGGTGCTTGAGAACCTTTCGCATTTTCATAATTCGAACAATAGCTGCCTGGATCAGTAGCTTTCTATCTTCCTCGATATGTTTGTGGGTGGTTTCTTGTTCCAATTTTAGTTCTGTCTTCATTGGAATATTTATATTCACTCGGAGCTTTTTACTATGAATATAAAAAAAGAAAATTGTTTTAAAATACCTCTTATTATTTAATGAACAATAATATGTAATTCCAAAAATTAAATTGACCATACTTTTTATAGCTAGTAAACAAGGCCACCACTGAACTTGGAGCTAGATCATTTTCATCATCATCACAGACCAATAATTTAGCTTTTAATAAAATTTGTAAGACCTGTATAAGAAAATCGGTCTTTATTTGGGTGTTTTCAGACAACTGAGAAATTGTCCAGGCCTCTGAAACGTTGTACTGTAACAATATTGCCATTTGGAAAGTGCTGGCTTGAAGTGTGTACCTAAAAATGAAAAATTAAGAGTAAAAACTAGTAATTTTAGTAGACAATGAATAAAATACCTATTTTTAAAACAATTGGTAACCAGTTCACCTTTTGACATGTTATACAGCCAATTTAATTTTCGACCCGAATGCTGACTGGAATAGAAACTGGTAAATCTATGAACACTGCGTTCCAGCTGTAAAAGGAAAATAACAGTAATAATTTTCAAAAAAAAGAAATTAACTAGATATTAAACACAACATACTTCGCTTGGTAGACCAAAAGTGAAAGACTGTTGAAATGGCCACGATCCTGAAGAAAGAACCTGTATGCTGAAATCTATATCTAGGAGTTCGCCAGAATTATTAAGGTGATTTCGGAACTGTTCATTCAAATCTTTAGAAACACCGATATCCTAGAAGTATTTTTTTTTTAATAGTATTAAAAATGCGAAAACTGTAAATTAATACTGTGCACAAACCTGGAACATTCTCTGAAGTTTTGATGTATATTCAAAACCACAGGCTTGTTTTAATTTCGAAATCATCGAAGCTTCCGCGTCATCACTAGCAGACATATGTTGTACAAGACGTTTTGCAAGCATCTTACTGTAGAACTTCTGAAAGACATCTTTATCCTCAATGTATTTGAAAACCACCATCTGCAGAATAAACAAAACAAATTAATAAAAACTCTACACATACTAATGTAGGTATTTACAAATAGAAAAAAAAAAATTTTTGATTATAAATAAACTTTATGTACTTATATAACAATTTTTAGCATACCACTTGGTTCAGAGTGTCTTCAAGTTCAGCCTCTTCGGGGTTTTTGCTGGATTTCTTTAGTAACAAATCGCAATATTTTGCCAGAAGTTCAGGCGATTTACTACTAGAGTTGGCCAATTTGGTGACTGCATTTGCATTTATAAAACGACCACAAGCTTTGTCTAAAGCAGCTACGAAACCGCTGTCGTTATTGAATGCTACCAAAACTAAAGCATTATACTTTTTATGAACCTCCAGTATTGTGTTCACGTACACTTTAGGATCCTGTCAACACAATTATTTTAAAAATGTTCATTAGTAATAATCATATTGAATTACTTACATTATGTGCTGCTTCGCCACATTTTTCAATTGCAGCAAGACCCTGATTACAGATGTGCTGTTCGAGAAGTGTGCGCAATTCGCCAAGACCGTCGGTTATTCTCGCGACTAACGAATACATGCGACCGAGGTCAGTATCTTTATCAGAGTCTAGCAACTGCTGAAACTCTGCATGAAACAGTTCCAAATGTTTCTGTATAAGAACGCGTTCACATGTCTTAGCTAGTCGATCACTTGTTGTTTCATGCAAATACGTTTGTACACGTTTTTGCTCCTCCAAAAGCCGCTGTTCAGCCTTCGAATAACAAAATAAAGGATGTTATTACAAACAAATAGTTTCTAATGTAATCAATCACTGTCAATATTTTTATAGAATAATGAAAGGCTTACTTTTTTCATATATTCTGTTACAGGATTCTGTGCCAAAAAGTTGGTACTTTCTCTTGTATAAAAACGTTCAGTATCTTCAAGAAAAACTTTTTCGAAACTTTCTACATAAACACTGAGATTTGGTCCTCTTTGTCCCGGTTCTTCTTCATTTAATCCCAATTCAACATAACAATTTATCACTCCAGACACTAATCTTGTGTTAATGGTTTCACCATTTCTTTCTCTTTCAATAAGTTTAAGGACCGCATTTGTTACCTGTTAAAGGAATGTTATTTTTACTTCCTACACAAAAACATCAGAAATACAAGATCCAAGCCTCATACAGCCATGGTAGGTACATAATTTTTGTGCAGTTTATAAGTTTTAGCATATTTTAATGATAAATAGTACGCTTACTTGTTTATTAAGTTGTTTAAAAAGATGATCTCGCCAGGTAACTAAGGCAAGTTGATAAATTTCATATATACCTTTACGACCTTCTTCACATTCTCTTTTTACCCAATGTCGATTTAAATATGCACACATTCCATCTAGTACTTTACTACTAAACTGATATTCTTCCCACTGTCTTGTGTAAAACTTAAGTACATCTTCATCCATGCAATGCATTCCTTCCTGGTTTATAAAATACACAAAAACAGTTACACATAATTATATTAGCAGTATCTTTCATTAATTATTAGAAAACGTTAAAAAAGTTGTACTGTTGTACATGTAAAGATATATACTAAATAAAAAAACGTTTGTACTTACGGACAGTAATGATATCAAGTAATTTCGTAAAAATTCAGTTAACCTTCGATATAATTCTAGTCCAACTAACTGTGCACCACCAGATACTTGATTTTTCTTACTCTTAGTATTAATGTTTGCATTATTTCTTCCGTTACTTTGTTGTTGATGAACAGATGTACAATAATTGTATACATGAGTATAAAGTTGCATATAACGCGGTTTGGTCATAGTTTGTCTTATATAAACATGCTCTATTCCAGCATTTAGGTCGCCCCATATTTGATCTAAGTCAATTTGTTTTAAACCACCAGCCATCGGACTAATCCCAGACGAATTTTTGTGAGACATTCTGTTAATTATGTATGAATGTATAATACACTACACAGTCTTCTTAATCACTAAAACAATTTTTTGAAGGTCCATAAAAAGAAAAATAAATCTTTAGAGAAGAGATGTAAATGTCACAATGCAGTTAGTTAAGATATGTGTCAAATAAAAAAAGAAAACTGACATGTCATTGTAGCAAGTATAAAAATAAAAAAAAACTCCTTGCATTTAGAAGAGAAAGGCGTCTTCTTTTGATAATATAACATCAACGTTTTCAAAATACACTTTCACTTTACAAAATTACAACACTGATTCTAAAGTTGTAACCAATCTTTCTTACACAATGCATCTATTTCACAAAGTCATTAAAATTTCAACTCACCCAAATACTAGAACATAACAAAAAAGTTTCAGAACATGCACAAAATAAATGCTAATATTAAAGTTTAACTTGTAAAATTAATAAATGTAAAATAAATTTACTTTATTTGCAAGGCTTATCACAAAACGACAAAACTGACAAATGAGATGTTTGACTGTTTATAAACTAAAACAGTAAACAACTACATAAACCTGAAAATCACTACAATTTGAATTTGAAACGAAACCTTTTTTTATATTTAAAAAGTTAAAATGGTATTTTTACGACATAAGCTATTGATACGAAATACTTAACAGAGCTGTGGCGTCTTAAATTATTAAGCATGATATTAATAAATGAGTATTTTTAAAAATACATTTCAGAAAAGAAACCACGGAAGCGCATGCTTATGAATTAATTGAAGTGGTGTCCAACATTATATGATCAAAAAGAACCAAAAGTGGTGTCGATCGTCGTCCATTGACGGCCAGCTGATTTGAGTTGACAATAAAATGTTCCGGTTCTTCGTTTTTAAGTTTATTTAAATGTTTTCGGAAGAAGTGCCGCAACTTTTCTAATGCCATATAAACTGTAGATAATAATGGAAACACAAAAATGGCCATCCCAACGCCCATTAATTGCAGAAAAATGTCCAGAAAAAGCAGATGACTACATGAACAATGGTAGCAGTTTCAACAACCTGCTGGAAAATGTCGAAGGAAATAGTAATAGTGAGAATTCCAGAAATTTAAATAACGATTCTCGGGTAAAAAATGTTGTTGAAACGGCTATTAGGTTAGTATTGTGTAATTTTTCTAATTGTAACCTGTTCTTAAAAAGCTGATTTTGCAGTGAAAAGTCCAGAAAAACTATTGATAAAATCTTAGAGGAAGTAAAAAATTTAACACCTGTAGAGTTGCTGTTTCTTTACTTAAAATTACCTACAGAATGCAGCAATTCAATTAATCCTCTCCAAAAACCACTTAATCCATTGGGAAGCAGATCAGAAATTAATCAGACCATAATGTGGATTAAAACCCATTTGGAAGAAGATCCCGAGTTATCGCTACCTAAACAAGATGTTTATGATGAATATCGGTAATTTTTTTAATGTTTTTAATTTTTGTAGCTGTAGTATATTTGTAATGTAAATGAAAGAGAAAACTTTATAGTACTAATTACAAATACAGATTAAACAAACAGCAGTTTGAAATATCTGCTGTATTTTTATAAGTTACAATTAAATGATATTATCAGTTACAAGACTCAACTTTATCATTGGAAGATGTTATCTATTTAGAATATTATTAATTATATAATATAGATAACTATATCCTCTTTCATTACAGTGAAACTATTCAGTAAATGTCACATTTTGGGAAATATTTATAACTAGAAATTTCAAAGTTTTGTTTTCTTAAACACATTAAGTTCATACTTCTCTGCTTTCGTGTCTTTTATAATCAATAACTCATTTTTGATATAATGTACACTCTTATACCATATAAAAAATGTTCAAAAGAATATATTTAATTATAGTTATAATAGAATTGAATCA